GGCTTTAAAAACACATTTAGAAAATTCATTACTTTACCTTCTTTCCAAGTTCAAATTTACATACTCTCTAATTCATAGAAGAACCAGGAAAAACAAAACCACACAAAATCTCTATTGAGGGCGATTTACAAGGTTAAATTGAAGTATTACACAACAACCTGAATGTGGATATATCAAAATAAAATTTCCTTGCACGACCACTCTATGCCACCAAATACATCCAAAATATATTTAACAATATGTGATAACATGAAATTCTTACAAATAAGGTATTTGTTACTTAAAAAAAACTCAGCTAGAGAACAACTTCAATTGAAGAGAAGCTTTTGGGAGAATAATTAGGTTTTATCTTGTTTACGTTGATATGTACTATATACAATTACTGGCCTTAAAGGGCATTTATGCATTAAATCTTAGAGTAATAAAATAAATAGCACAAAATGTATAAAGTCAGAAAAAGATGAGAAAGAAGTGACAGATTACTAATTTTGGTCCTTTATTTGGGAATATGTAATATTTACTATAAATATACTATGCTTCTAGTTTATACTAAAACCGCTGATCAAAAGGTATATCCCTAAATCAAAATCAATTAAGAGCTTGGCTCCAAAATATAGCTTCCGTCCCAGCAGAGTACAAAGAAGAAACACTTAAGGCAAATATGTACAACAATTCACTAATCAAATTTGCAATGCTCTTTCATGCTCCCAAGATGAAAGGATTTCAAAGAGCACTCCTTACTCATCCTCTCCCCCATCCTCCTTGACATTTCCTCTGGTCAGGGCCAACACATCCTTTAATAGTCATGGAAGTGAATCAGCCCACATTTATGTGGCTTTCTTCTATACATCAGAGAGGTGCTTAGTAATCTCCAATTAATGTCAGTAGACTAATATATAAGAGAAGTTTTTCTAGAAGTGACACCATTGGTAAAATTCAGTATATAATGAAAATTCAGCTCACATTTTGCTGATTATTTCTAAGGAATTTTTTTTCAATATTAAGTAATCCTCAAGGTTGCTAATTTAAATGCTTATGGTAAAGCATTTTATAATTTCCATGTCATGTATACTACTTCTAAAAGTTATCATCGGTTCATTGTTCTTACAAATAATATCTAAATAAGAAAGTTAGAACTACAAAAAAAAGATGAGTGAATGCCAAGATTAAAAATTTCCAAGCAATAATAGTAAGCTGGTTTGGCAATAAATTTAAACCATGGGGTGGTAAGGATGCCAGGAGACTTATTCCTCAATTATGCAACAAATACTTATTAAAGTAGATACTGAGTGGCCAGCTCATTTCTATGCACAGAGCCTCACATAGACCTAGGGCATTAGGTATATAGGTGCATATATATATCTATACATAGATATATATATTTATATTACTGACCAAGCTTCCAGCCTGAACTGAAGGAAATTATAACAGGCTACATTTGTATATTATTTTTATGGTTATTTATCATTGTTATAAACCTATTCTTTGCCATCATGAATTCTGTCTCTATTTGAAAGTAATAGACAGCTATTATCTAACTAGAAAACAATTCATGACAGAAGTTGGCTACAACAAATGAGTAATTATTGAACTGAGGCAATCAGTAATTCACTGAATATTTTTGCCCCAAACTTTCTTTAAACAACTACTGTAATCAATTCTTAGTTGAGGACTTAAGAAAACATCAGTTAAAATATGCAAACTTTCAATAAATAAAAATACTAATGTTAAGTGTTAAACTCTTTCAATACCATCAACAAAAAGGTAGATAACTTTCTCAGAATTATATTGAAACCAAATTGCCTGTCACTTTATATTGACAACGGTTATGTTGAGAGTTCACAGTTAACTTAAACTGCAATATTTTCAATATTTAATTAAATCAGTTATGCTTTCAGAAAAGCTTTTATTGACTACTTATCCTCTAAGTACTGTGAGAAATTCCTTAATCTTCATTTCATATATTTCTTATCTCTTCATCTCATAAACCCTGACAATTTCAAAATTAGTACTATAGGGCTTTCAGCTTAACAGTGAAACCATTTATATTTATAACAAAAAGATCTATCAAAACTAGGCCACCTGATTCAATACTCCTTTTATTCCAAGTTGTAATACTTTTTAAGATCACATTCAATCAAAATTTAAATGTGATTACATTTTCAAGTGAAATCAAACTCTGAAGAATGGGAGGATAAGCCAAACCAAATATTCAAATCTTCATTGAAATTACTTGCCATTCAGATTTTTGAAGTTACTTAGTTGAAATAGCATCATACATTTCAGCAAGAATGGAGCATCTTTTAATGAATGTAATCAACTTTGCTGTTTATTGCTTCACTCTATCAATTAGAGATGGAAATTATGTATTTAAATGAGATCAATACATACTATATACTTTACTGACTTTGAAGTCTTCCCTGGCAGTTTAATGGTTAGGCAAAATTTATAACTTTTGTAGATTAAAACATATCCCTTTACTTTCCTTCCCTTTCTTTGCCTTTCTGTAAAACTCCAATTTTTTTGTTCTTTAAAATTAAATTCCTTTTCCATTTTCCATGTATTTAATGTTACAAGAAGGAATTAAAGGTAAACTCAGTATTAAAAATCTAAACAAACAAAAATTCTTACCTGTGTTAATTTTGATTGTATGTTGAAACATGAAAAAATTATTGTATCCGTGCAAATGACTTAGTGAGTCACTAATGGGTGGATTTTTTAAAAATGTATGCAATAGAAATAAGGGGAGAAAAGTACAGTTTTATTGGGACAGATTGGAACTAAGATTGAGTTAATACAAGAGTAGACAGTGCTGACAAAGTGTATTTGGGAATCCCAGGAACCTAACTTGTTAAAGACAAGTTCTAAAAATGGGAGATTTTGGATATTTCAAATACAAGACCAAGAATGTATAGTGAAAACCACTAAAGCAAATGGTTAGATGAGGCTTAGAAAGGAAATTCAGAAAGAAAAAGGCACACTGACAGATTATCTTTCAAGACTCCACCTCCACTCAGGGAGCTGTGGAAGGCACTGAGCTGGTACAGATTCCTAGAAAGCCAATTATTTAGTTGTATAAGGGCCCTCAGCCCATATCTGGTCAGAGTTGGAAAAAAATGGCCATTCGTGCACACCAAAATCCTTTGACCACAAAACCAACCACAGCTGTTTGAGTAATCAGTGACAGAGCCCTTTTGATCTGAGAGTGATCGTTGGGACCTTTTCTCAGGCTAAAAGTGTAATTGGTTATGGATCAATAAGTAATTTCTTTTAGAAGGAAAATGTTCTTGGTTTTCTTTCTTTTATATTTATTTATTGTTTGAACTAGTAAGGCTTCTAAATCAGAACTGAACAAATGTATTTTGAAAGCTGAGATTACTCTTAAAAGATTTTTTACTGTACCATACTAGTTAAGTTTATCTCAACTGATCATTTATTTATGATGCCATAAAAGTCCAAATGCTTTCCATTTTGATTGTCTGAAAGGAAGCCGAAATTACTTTCCCATTGTTTCCATTTTGGCAACTACATTTTGAATGGAAAATTTATGATGGTTCAATAATGGTTGTATTGAGGTTTTTTGTTGCTGTTGTTTGTTTGTTTTCACAAGAGGCAATGAAATCAGCACCTGTAGTCAGTGACAGCTTCTCCGCCCCTTAAACCCTTCAGCTTATTGAAAATTTAAGGAATTTAATGTAAAAGATAGGGTAGGAAGATAAGTTAATAAAATCTTTGAGAATTAAAACTGTGTGAAAGTCTATTAGTGTATTTTGGTAACAAGTGGCTTTCCGAATTATATAGGAGTGGTGCCCAAAAGCCAACTTTTACCAGAAAAGAACCTGATGACTTACATTTCCTTTAAGGCCTGAGAACTACTCAAGAGACAACTTATAAATAAAAACACAAAACCAATCTTACCTTAGGACAAGATATAGGAGAGATAAGCTAAACTTAAAAACAAACGAGGATGGAGAGAATTAAGTGCTTCAGAAACTTTTAGAGGATGAACACTTCAGATGAAGAACAGTGATGAGAAGAACACTACAGCTTTTATGTTTGATTTTTAATGGTGCTATGAGTTGAGCCCAGGGCCTGGCACAGGCAGGGTAGACAGGTGTTACCAGTAACTTATACCACAAGTCCTATGATGTGTGCTATTTTGTTGTGTTAGTAAAATGTACTATCTCTGAACAATGAAATACTGTGTGTGTTTCTTTGCCAGTAATACAGGAACATGAGAAAGTTACAATCAAAATCATTGGTAATTATTGAATGTAGGGATAACAAAAGAGACTGAACTATTTATAGTCCATTAAGCAGCTTTAAGAAGACAAGGACATTTTTCATTCATAACTAATGTTTGCCTTTTACTATCTTCCAAGTAAATTGTTATGGGAGTTTTAGAACTTAAAGCAAAAGAATGCTCATAGGCCAGAAATGGTACGAATCCATACCATTTCCTTGACACAAAATATCCTAGAAACAGCATTATTTTGGGTAATTTTCTTTCACATCTCCAAATACTGTTAAAGTTTCCCTTCTTTGCTTGGGCTTCATGTAATGTTGTCTAATTTTTCTCTCTGGCAAGAAAAGGAATCAGAACTCTGAAACCAGATCTTTGTATGTCACTAGTATCATAACTTCCTGCTTCTAGCCAGATGGTATACTATTCATTGAGCAATAAACTATTTTATTAATTTGGCAAATATGCCAAAAGGCACTAAAAGTACTCCAAAAAAGATTTCATGAACACAAAATTGAGAGAAATTCCTGCTCAAAAAGAATTTTTTCCCCAATTGTAAAGTAGTGGGTAACAGTAATAAATCTGAAGTTTTATTATCTCTAGATAGTACTCCTCTTTTCTATGGTATATATCTTCTGCTGGTCTCCAAGGCAGGGTGGGAGGCTTTAAGGATGCAACATTATAAGTTACATATAAAAGGTTAACAGCAAACATAATGTCCAAAGTAAATGCCTAGATGTATTTAAAGAGTACTTACTATATGCAGTTCTAGGTAATCACCCAGGCCTGAAGAGCTGTCCACTCGTACCAATACAGCTTCTTTCTGAACAGTGCTAAACCCTATGGCCAGTCTGTCTGCTCTTGTGCTTGGCCGGTCATTTGGAGGCCATTTATACGTGATTTGTCCACCACCTTTGCTAAAGATATACGTTGTCCCAGCTGTAAAACACAAACAAAAACACCATCAGTTAGTCCCAAATATTTCCAGCCTATATTTTCTTGTGTTTATCATGTGGACATACCACTCAAATACTGACTTTAGACACAGATATACAGTAAAGCAAGTAATAGATTTCTATCGAACTTGCTCAAAAGAGAACTGAATTGTTTTAAGATAAATAGAGAAGCAGTTCAATCTTAATATACTCATTAAATCTACCAGCAGGTGTTTGAGAACAAACTGTAGATTATGGCAAGATTTTTCCAGTGAGCTGGACAAGCATGCTATGTAATAGGGCTTTATTTCTTCCTGCCACTTTTGAAGAAATAGTTCAGCCAGTAGGAAACTGACTGAAGGCTTCCAAAAAGCAGCAGAAACATTTATCAACTTGTTTTTGCAACAAAAGCTACATGTAGATCTGACAGGGTCATTCAGTATAGCAGAACAAATTTTTTATGGGGGAAGTGTTTATTTACATGTGACAGATGATAAATAATGAATGGACATCCATAAGCTCCAGTAGTCAGGTAGAGGCAATACAGATAATAGGTTCAATCTATTGAAGTCAGGTCTTATTTAACAAGCAACATCTAGTGGCTATTGTGAAAAGTCTCACCTGATCCACCCTCTGATTCCTCAGCACCAGGAAGTGAGTACTACTAGTTTCACAACACTGAAGAAAATGTCACACAGGGTCTGATTCTGCCAGTGCTCAAGCTTTGCTGTATGATAATGATACCAGGAAATCACTCATCCTAATTTAAAGAGTTTTGTTTCTAATGACATCACTCAGCATCCAGTTCAATAAACTTTTATATTATTGATTGTCATTGCTTTGCTAGCATCTCTCTCTCACTGAATACAATGAAGGAAAATCTTTGAGTCACAAGTTTTTCCTCTAGAGAACCGAAAGGAGAGATACCTCCAAACTAAAAGTGATTACAGAAACATGTAGTTAATAAGCCCAGACAGGCCTTAGGGAGAATCTATAAAGGAAGGAATAGCCTTTGAATAACAAAAAATGGCAATGTGTATATTCCCCTCCCCTTTACCTCCCAATGTGTATTTACTGAGTACCTACTGTGAGTACCATATTATGTTAACTTGACTGGACCAATCCAATGCCCAAGTAGCTGGTGATATATTATTTCTAGGCTTTTCTGTTAGGACACCGTTGGATGAAATTAGCATTTGTATTGGTCTGAGTAAACCAGATTGCTCCATCCACTGTTGAGTGGTCATCAGTTAAATTCCTTTGAGGGTCTGAGCAGAACAAAATTGGAGGGAAGTTGGGTTTTCCTTCTTTTTTTTTTCTGTCTGACTGTTTAATGAAGAGCATGACTTTTTTGGATCCTGATTCTCAAGCCTTCAGAACCAAACAAATTTTACACTATTGGCTCTCTGGTTCTCAGGCCACTATACCGCCAGCTTTCCCCGGTCTCCTTGTAAGAGGCTGTGTGTGCATAGAGGTACTCCACTTTGGTTCTGCTTCTCTGGATAACTCTACCATGTATAAAACATGGAAAAGAGCAACATTAATTGTTAGACTGCAAAACATCATTTTTTTTAATAGGAAAAGAGCTTCTATTATTAGTAATATATGTAAATGTGCATAGAACAATATGGTCTGAAGATAACAGTGCATCAAGTTTTTATGAATAACAATTTGCCAATTAAATGAAGTTGACTGCCTCTCATGTTTGTGTGTATTTAATTAAATAGTGGATTGATTTTATGCTCTTTTGAGGGGACAACCAATCTTCATTTTCTATCTTAGACATTTATTTTCATAAGCTCTTGAGAATTTTCAAAATCTTCTGAAATATGTACATAATAATTTGAGGTTATAAGAGCTCTTGGTATGTAAATCTGTCCCAATAAACATGTCAGAGGTCAACAGTGTAAAAGTGATAAACCAGAATATTGATTATGAAAAAATCTGGTAGAGGGCTATTCTACTAATTTTGTTGAATACCAATCAATGAAATTAATTTATCTCATTCACACAAGGAAAGATAAAGATAAAGATAAAGAAAAGTATCAATTAGTTTGCAAATAAGCAAGATTCAGAATTTGTAGACTGTGCATTAAAAATGTAAAATTTTGCAGAGCATCGTTCGATGCTTATTCTTCTCCTATGATATTAAGAAGCAAGTCCTATTTGGTAAGTATTTTTTCACTTCTCATTTCTTACAGATAATTAAATATTAATCATTTTGATAAAGTATTTGTCATAAAATATGTTACATAAAAAGATTTCTTTTTCAAAAGTAGTTGTTGTCTCTGTATGCTAATACTTCATGATTCATTTATGTTTCTCCTTTAAAATAACTTTTTTCTCTATGGCTATGTATTTCATGAGAAATAAGAAAAAAATGTTCCAAAGTAGAGATACTATTTACTATTTTACTATTTAACAGTATATGATATCAACTATATCTAAGATTTCTGATGCTTTCTAACAGAACACAGAGAAGCAGTATGTAAACAATTATCTTCATCTATACTCACCACTGGCATGATTATTTTCCAACTCTTTCCGACTGTTACATACAAGGTAGGATAATATTTCTCCCATTAAAAATACTTGAGAAAATTTAGCTATAAGAGTTGAGGTTGTTAGGCTAGGCTGATATCAAAGCTAATATTCAGACTCCTGTGCTTATTATAATAAGATAATCCAGATGAAGTTCACTGGACCTGCCAGTCTGAATGTCAAGGTCAGCTGTTATGATATTCCAATGCTTCATATCCATATGGTGACATTTATCCTTCATATTCTTACAATCTCCTTTCACCTCACAATCGTGTGAAACAAATAAACATAACCTATGCATGTAAAAATGACAAAGCATTTAAGATAGTTATACTGATATTACCTTCACTTCTGGAACTATGTTTCTAATTTCTTAGGCATGTGATAATAATTTAAAGGTTTATATTTTCAGTAAGATATATGGGACAAGCTCATGCTTGCAATCCTAGCTATCTAGAAGGTTAAGATCAGAGAATTGTCATTCAAAGTGAGTCCAGGCAGAAAAATCTGCAAGACTTGGTATCCAAATAACTAGCAAAAAGTCATTCTGGAAATACAGATCAAATGGTAGAGTGCCAACTAGGACCAAGAAAGCCAAGTGAGGGTTCAAGGGCTTGAGTTCAAATTCCAGACTTGCAAAAATACATGACAAGACAGATATCATTACTTGAAATTTAATTTCGTTATCATTTCACTTTCTCAAAGTTTTAACCAAGCATTACAAGGCAGTTACTATACCATTTGTGCCATGCCTATACCTCTTGGCTTTATTTCTTTTTATAGAATCTCTGCATTTTTCTAGGAATAAGTTAGACCATGACCTAACTAGTTATACTCTTATAAGCTAGGATTACAAAAGTAAACTCCCACATCCAGTTTATTGGTTGAATTGGGGTCCTGGTAACTCTTTGCCCTGAAATTGTAATTCTCTTGATCTCCATTTCTTGAATTTGCTGTTTTCAATATATAGTAACTACCAGACTGCTAACTAATCATTCTTTACAATGATTTAAGTTACGCTTCTTTTTTTTCTGGTGTCCTTTTAGCTAAATACATCTGGATAGATGAGTCTTTTCCCTGTATACTAAGTATACACATCAATATACTCAAAACAATTTCATAATACACAAATAAATTAGAGGTTTGGTATTACCATAGGTTTCTTCTATCTACCTCCACAGGCATCTGGTTTATTTATTTATTTTAAACTGCTCAGTGTCATACTTGACAAATTTTTCTATATTCTTAAATCATTCCTTCCATCCAGCCAAAACATTATTTCTCATAATCAAATACAGTCAATTGTCTAAAAGAGTCAAAATCTACCTGATCTTACATTGTTCTAGGAATCAAGGTCACAATAGACTTTCTGTAGCAGAGGCCTTTCAAGATTTACAATAGAACTCTGACCTCGGACATCCCTGGACTTCAATTCTAACTATACCCTTTGCTATCTATTCTCTAACCTAGTTATTTATGCTAAATTTTGTGCTTCTAATTATCTGAATTAAATGGAGCTAGCAAATTGTCTTATTGAATCGCTGCCAGGATTAAATGAGATATTACACAGTAATACTTTAGCTCTCATCATGGTAAGTGACCAACAAAGCACAGGGAAGAGGTGGGTTTTTGTGTGCAAGTATGTGTACCATAAAAATATAAAGTAACATCACAACCTTTTCATTTTATTGTAATACAAAAAATGAGAAAAAAATGAGAATAATTAACTGTATTTTAGTTATGTTCACATTGATAGTTTTAAGAAGAATCTTCCTCTATCACAGTTTCTATTCATCTTTTCAGTTTTTTTATCTTATGGCTTAGTACTTTAATTGATATAAAGCAATTATTATTTTATTACATCTTTTATCAATTATGTTATTTTACTATTATGTTATATAAATAATTATTATTTCCCTTCACTATTCATTGACAATCATAATATAGTTCATCAAATCACATGGAAATTTCATGAGAGAAAGAGTATCAATTCATCTTCATCAATAATCCAGATGGTAAAAATGATGTAGCACACAGTAGAAAATTTCACTTGACCTTAAATAAATGAGCGAGTCTACCAAAAATAAAAAGACCTGCAAACTAGATTTTTTCAAATCTTACCTTTAGAGAGGCATGTATGGGTGAATTAAATGTGTGATGACAACTCAATCACTGCTTCATGCTTTTAATCAATAGGAAGGCGAGAGTGGTGGCTTGTGTGGCTTTGTTATTGGGGCTGGTTTTCATACTGCAAATAAAATCCCATCGATGATGTGACTCCTAATAGATTTATTGCGAATTCATCTTGCATTCAGCACATCACTAAATGCAGGGCTAACTCAACCTTCACGTGGTTTTCTGTCCTCTCTCTGCAAAGCTGTGCAGCAAGTGCTTTTCACTCTGAATTCAGCATCTTGCAATCTCGCTTGGTTTTTTTCAACTTAAGGTGGGTGCTCTACCATC